GCAAGGCCTGTTCAGCAAAGCCGTCCGGGAAGTCACATAGAAAAGGCCCAGCCTGGGGGCATACGCTCGCCAGCCACTCCAAGTCCTCCCGGAGGACATGTAGCCAAGACTCGGGCAGAAGGCGGTAAGCAGCCCGGAGAAGATCCCAGAGCGTGCTCTGCGTAAGGAGAAGCCTGGCAGCATGGAGTATCCTCTCAGCGCGCAGGTACGCTAGAGGAGAGGAGAAGCGATAAGCTTTACAGACGTTGCTTTCCGCAGGTAGAGAGGGCTGGCCCGTGTGCCTGTCGTCGCGCCCAAGCAGGCGTACAAGCCGGACGTATCCGGTCCGCCAAGCCCGGGTTTCTTGACTATTGAGCGGCCCCCAAGTCGCAGCAGTGCAAGAAGCAGCTGAGAAGGCAAGGGAATTGAGGATGAGCCGCCGCTTTGCAAAAGGCAATGCGGGGTTCCGGAGGACATGCCGAGCTAGGGGCCTGACCTGCGCCCAGGCCGCGGATACATGCTGGGCAACATCCGGCATAAAGCGGCCCGTATCACAGACTCGTCCGCCAAGGTGAGTGTATGCCCTAACGCAGTGCACCCCAAGGGCAGTCCCTTGAACATGGAAAGGGAGGATACCCGCCTGCCTAATATATAATTCCTGCCTGGCCGCAGGAGCCCCCAGCCCTTTGAAAGAAAAAAGGGCTTCAGATTTACCGGGGGCATAATTAGGCGCCATTGCTCTGCGAGTATACTCGCCATGGACAGCTTCTAGGGTATGCTTGGCCGCCTGCAAGAGCTGTGGCGTAGTGCGCTGGGCCAGGAGAACAACAGCATCGTCAGCCCAGACGGGAATGACGCTATTGATAGGCAACTCAAGACTAGCGAGAACTGGGTCAGAAGCGGCCAATCCCCCTATGCGGGCACGCACAGCCTGCAGGAAGTCTGCCTGGACCAGAGAAAACAGGAGGTCAGCAATGGAATCCCCCGGCCTAGACCCTGCCCGGGTACGTACGATCCCCGGTGCCCCTTGAATGTGAAAGAAAGTGCCACATATCAAAGCCGTGCAGTGCGGAGAAGCCTCTGTCAAAAGGTCCGTGGCAGAGAGCCAATCGCAAACCTCCTGCAGGGTTGAAGGCGGCACCTTGAGAAGCGTCAGCAGCTTAGCAATGTCTTCATCGTGCTCAAGGTCTCCTTGCCCGAAAGACTGACGCAAAACACGGTAATACGCAGATGAGACATCAAGGAACAAGGCAACAGTAGGTGTCTTAAGGCCAAGAGCGAGTTGTTGATGGGCCCGAGAAAGGTGGCGCGCACCAGCCAACAGAGACCCAGGGGTACCGCCCTGCTGCTGATCAGGAGGCGGCAAGAGCGACACAAGGGCCGGCCGTAGCGAGCGTCGGAGCGCCTTACCAGGACCGTCCAGCAAAGCAATGGCACGATGGTTGGCCAGCACGGCAGGAGAACCCTTGCCTTTGAAAAGTGCAATCAAGGCTGTGGACTTAAATTGGACAGGCTCGGTCAGGCGGAAGTGTGCCTTAAGAAAGATAGGCAGGAAGGCGCGCGCAGCCGCTCGACTATCCAGGGCCCATAGCCACTCCGGGATGCCGTTGGGGCCGGGAGCTTTCCCTTGTTTGGCACCTCTAAAGAGATCCTCCAGCTGGATAAGCGTAGGAAGAAGAGAGGGGTCACGACCTCAATGACATCCCCAGCTTCGATGGCGGCAAAGTGCCTTTGTTGGCGCACAGCCAGACTGTCCTCGCCTTCCGTAAAGGGGGTGATCTGAAGCCTGCCGAAGGGCTTGAGGACCCTCTTACCCGCTGGCCTTAGACACTTGAGCGCCCGGAAAAAGGTTGGCTGCAAAGGGGGTCGCGGCCTGCTGCATATCCTCCAGAGCACGTGCCGCATGTGCCCCTTTGTCGTAACGTATCCTGATCGGCTAGGCAGCAAGCGATCCTTTTGCAGACATCTGAGACAGTCCAACCTTCTCGGGACATGGCAACACAAGTGTCCCCCTTCCAAGCCCAGAAGATTGCGCGCAAGCGAAGCTTTCTCTGCAGCCGGTCCAGCTGCCGTAGCCGGTGTTTGCAAGCCTTGGCAGCTTGCAGAAGGGCAGCAGCCTCCTGGGACACAAACTTCCGGGTACGCTTGGCTGTTGCATAAAACCCAGCTTCTTTAGCACCTAGCTTTACAGCATCATAAACGTATGCAGTATGTGAGTGGACATTGGCATTCCAGGCAACGGGGGGCATGGCCCACAGCGCCAAGCGCATGGTCTCGAGGTCCGCTTTCCGGAAGGAGTGAGAATGTCTAGGGAGGGCCGGGCCAGCCTTCCTGGGCGGAGAATCCACGAGGGCTGCATCTCTGTAGCATCGACGAGTTGTGCCTGCCATTGATTTTCCGCAGCCTCGAAATCTTCTAGCACCTTGGACATCTTCGTCCCTGTTGATCCACCGTCTCCGTGAGGACCTGGAGGTACTCTGCCCAACCTTCTAAGAAGGTCTGCCTGTCTTTCGCAAGGCGTTGGAGCTGTGTGCGCGCCTCTGTTTGGCGCGCCACTTGCTTGTGTAGAAGTTTTCCAGTGGAACGTGCGTTGGCACTCTGGAAGACTTGAACTCGTTCCGCTAAGGCAGTCGGAAGCGTCGAGGAGTCGCCCAAATGAGCCAGCAGGGCTCCTAGCAGTTCGCCTTCCTCTGAGGCCTCTGCCATTGATCCGCCAGCTGTCTTGGGCAATGCAATTGTCGGTGCTGCTGCAGGTTGAGGCAGGTCCGATAACTTGGGAGGGGCTCCCTTGCCCTTGCCCTTGCCATGGGCCTGCTGTTGTGGCTTGCCCTTTCCGGAACCCTGCCCAGCTGCATCCGTCCTGTCTCCACCACCATTCCTTTGTCTGGGTGAAGGCTGTCGTCTGGTCCTGGGGGACTGCTGCCTGCGTGTCGGCTGTGGCCAGGCTTGTCGTCCAGGCGTAGCTGTGTAGGACTGCAGCGTCCCACCACACACGGGGCAGTAAGCCGCCTTGTTGGGGCGGTTCGCGTAACAGCGGTCGCACCAGGAGTGTTTCGTTCCTTGGGCTGCCATAGCTGCCGGTATCCTCAACCTGTCTCGCACTGCTCCGGGCAAGGCCGACGCAGAATGGTGGCTCTCCAGCCCCCGCACCGCTGTGGCCGTCTGCCGAGAGGGTTCCTCCAGGCCTGACAGGATGTTGCGAAGATGAGTTCGACTTCTCGTACGGGCTCTCCTCGAGTTCCGATGCCAGGCGGGTTCCTTCGAACCTGTGAAGGCCCTGCGCTGCTGTTGGCTTGTCGTGGTAGAAGACGAGTCCAAAACAGCTGACTATAAGAAGGGTCCAGACGCGTCCCATGCGAATGGCCACAAAACTGGGCGAAGGCGTAGGCCGAGTAAACAGCAGCTATGCCTCGCCGAAAATCTGGGCACCAATCCAGGTAAGTGTAGTGATCAGGGCGCGACTCCTGTTCCGGCGCAGAAAAAAAGAGTCGAGGCTCGACGCACCTCCCGAAGGCAGCGGAGCAAGACAACCAGGACCCCCGTCGCACGTGCGGACACGGGGGCCACAGATGGGGTATATGGCTCAGGAAGTGGACCACTAAGGGAAACTACACAAACCTGGAAGCCAAAACACCTAGGTTTTAGGGTTTAGGGTTTAGGGTCTAAGGTTTAGGGTTGAAGGTTTTTTGGGGGTGGTTCCTTGTTGAAGAACTACTCAGCTAGGGTTCTACGTGCACTCGCCAGGGCTTTGCTTCTCCCGCTGATCCTCCTGATGCTGATCCAGCCAGCATTTGGGAGTTTGCAAAGATGTGGTGCCCCAATATAGACCCCAATATTGATATACGATAATCCAGTTTTATGTACATTCCATTACATTCCTCAAACCCCGTCGCCTGCTCTGAAGCTGCAGGTGTCGAGCTCCCATACAAACTACATGTAGGAGCCTGAATCATCTTAGTAAATTCGAACAAAAAAGCAAATCAAACATGACATGGGAACTAGGAGATATGGGGTCCCATCAATATCTACTCCTTTTTGAGACAACCATATTGGCAAATATTGGGGTTTGTGTCATGCAGAATACCAGCACAAAATGAATTGCCGCAGGTGGGGGTGTTTTGGATAAAAAGCAGAAGGAAAACCGCTGGCCGGTGAATGAGAACCAGAAGCACTTTAGAAGATAATATACAGGCTGAAAGGATTGGAGTAAAGTTTTGCGGTACACTATACCATACTCGTATAAAGAAAATGAAGGAAGAGTGCAAGTAATCACTGTATTCAAGGTTCTACATGAACTGCAGCAGGGCGAAAAGTCCTGTCCCGGCTGGCGCTGAGTGCAGTCTTTGGCCAGGACACCCGGACAACATCCTTAGTTAGCTGTTTAAAGTCTGCTGACAAAGCTTGGTGCGCAGCGTTCTTGTGAAACTAATGGGGGAACACGTTGAAATATCGAAAAACTCATGCGGCAACCTGAATCTCAAGGTTTGGTTGGATACAACTGAAGGCTTCGCGACTGGGACGTCGGAGGTCAAGTCACAGGCTCCTTGCGCGGTGAGCAAGACATACGCTGACTAACTGACCAATCTCAGAGACAGCCAAGGCCAGCAGTAACAAATTCCCAGCCAAACCCATTGTAACTTGACTGTAGGGTTTAGGGTTCAGGGTTTAGGGTTTAGGACCCATTGTCATTTGACTTTCTCATGAAGCTGACAGGCTCTCCCTAACAAATCCCAGGATCGACACAGCTCTTGTGACCGCGGAAGATCTTCGGCTTTGCCGAAGATGAATCGAGGCTCCAGAGCCTGAGCTCAAGAGAAAATTTGCCGTGGCTCCAGTGGATTGGGTTGCTGCAAAGGAGCTTAAATTAAGTTACCAGAATAGGTATATGTAGTAAATAATAAGGTTTCCCCAATATAGTGATGCAGGGTTTGGGTGGGGCTTTGGGATTTCAAGGCGCCGACGTCCGAATGTGCGTGTAGGACCTCTTGCCAGGGCATGGGGGCAAGTAGCTGAGGCAACCAGATTTCCTACCTTGAGGGTTAAAGTGATACTGGGGAGCACTGAGTTTTTTTTTTTTTTTTACCTGGCTTTTCCAGTAGCTTCAGGTTGAACTCGTCCAATGTTTCTCCGCCGCCTCCCCCTGTCCCAGCCCATGCTCCGCCACCACTTGAGACTTCACTAAGCATTAGAATGCCATGATATATGGGTGCAATGGAAAAGGTATTGTCGTATCGGTTCCTTATAACAGCGAAACAGTTCAGCTTCACAGCCACCCGCAAATCTGAACCCACCAACCATGAAGAAAACACCACCATGGGGGCTCCAACTTGGACTTTCCTGGACATGAAAAATGTACGGGTATCTTATGTGAGCTACGAGTATAGTCTAAACTCCTAGTATCCCCTAAATAAGCCCTATAGTAGTCCACTACATAATCCCCCATATAACCCCCTTTAGGAGCTTAGACTATAGCTCATGTAGATCAGCCTGAAGAAGTTGACTCCGCCTGAGCCAGGGTTGGCTTCTACTTGCCGCTCGCCCACGCCATATTATGGCAGTTTCCAAAGAGCAGGGTCCCCCATATTGGGTGGTTGTCAAAATTATCCCTTTTTGGGTCCCTATTATAATACGGCACCTAATATTTGGGGTACCAAAAAGGGACCATAATTTTGACAACCACCCATATACACCCCAATAGGTTTCAATTCCTGCTTTGAGACGCCCCAAAGGATGACTCGTCGTCCGACGGAAACCGCATGTACTAAGTATTAAACGAGTTAATATGCAGGTGGCCACGAAGGAACACAACCTTGACAACCTTCCATATAAACCCTACATCACCCGCTTTAAGGAGTATAGACCCTAAACCCTAAACCGGTCTTAACCCCCTTTCAGGAGTTTAGACTATAGCCCATATAAACCCTACATCACAAACTGCAAAGCAGCATCAGGTTGCCAGAAGACGTGCCAGTAAGCACCAAGCCTTCGGTCAGCTGAAGACTGTGTTGCTGTCAAGAAACTTAATCTAAGTTACTGTATTGAGGAAACCCTGTTCATTAATATATATATATATACCAATTATGGTAACTTAATTTAAGTTCCTTAACAGCAACCCAACTTAAGGTTGACTGTTGAGTGTTTAGGGTCTGAGGTGTGGGATTTAGAGTTTGGGGCTTGGGGTGTAGGGCTTGGGGTTCAGGGCTTGGGCTTTAGGGCTTGGGGTTGCCCTAAACCCTAAACCCTAAACCCAAAACCCTAAACCCTATACCCTAAACATAGGGCTTGGGGCTTGGGGCCTGAGGCTCGAAGCTTAAAGCCAAGCTTGACGATTAAAATCATTACTACTGCGAGTTAGGCTTACTTATATGGGTGGTTGTCAAAATTACGGTCCCTTTCTGGGTACCCTAAATATTAGGGGCC